ATCTATCAAAGTCTATGAAGATCTACTTTATATTTCACATATCTCTTTTTGAGCTATATAAGATAGGAAATATCTCAAAAAGAAGACAAATACCACCTCCTCTTATTGAAGTGGATAATAATCAAGAGTTCAAGATAGAAGAAGTCTTAGACTCAAGGCATCACCAAAATGGGTTAGAATATCTAGTTCATTGGTGCAGATATGATATTAGTGAATGCACATAGGAGCCATCAAAGAATCTTGCAAATACAACAAAGAAAGTTGAAGCCTTTCATCAACGACATGTATCAAAAAAAATATAAAGAATTACAAAGATCGATGAAAGATGATAAGTGCTCATTGTGGAACTCATCTTTAGAAAGAAAAGTAATATCATGGACATATACATTTACTTCAATAGTTACTTATATGATTAGGTAGAAGTAGGTAAATATAGATTAATTTTATAAAGTCTTTTAAAGTACTTTCTAAAAGCTTTATAGACGTAGTTTTGACTTTAGATGTGTTTGTAGTTGAAAACTTGGCCAATAAGTTAATCATGTATTAGTAGCTTGTAGAATAAGTTAATTTTATGTAGTAGCTTGTAGAACAAGCTAACTATGTGGTGCATGCATAGATAACTTGCCTTACAAGTTAAAACATGTGGCTAGTAAAGTCAACACATGTTGGAGATCTTATAGAATATTGCTATATAGCTCCTAATTAGAGAATATATATAGAAGCAAAAGTGAAGTCTTCTTCACTCTTATCAAAACCTTTCTAGTTTTTAGTCTTATTTCAAGTCTTTTTAGTCTTCTTGTTTTTGGCAATAGCCATTCTAGTTCAATATTATATCATCTTTAAATGACTTTCTAATTCCTTTCAGTTATAGAAGAGTGTATTGAGGATTTTCTTTCTTCAAGATTCATATCCTTAATACCAGGCGCTCAATACACTTTCAAATAAGGAAACATGTATTACAACAATATCATCAACAAAATAAATCAAAAACATGGAATAATATGCATACATTCATGTACACACACATTTTAAATATAACTTTTAATTGAAGTGGATTTCTTTAGTCTATAGAAATTAAGATCCAAATTTGGATTCTTCAAGACTTGGAATCAAATAGTAGATGGGATTAAAATGATATAAATGTCACTTGTGGGTATTCTACAAAGCTACACATTTTCATGAGAATTAAAGAGCCATCATTTGGTTTAGGTAGTAATTCCTCAAATCAATAGAATAATAGAATGTTCAAATTCAAAATAACCAAAACTTATAAGATTATCCAATATTTTTGTTTACTTTTGTGATTGTATTATCTTGTAAAATATGTATCTATATCTATATATATATATATATATATATATATAGATAAAATCTATTCAAGTAATGTTAAAAATACATACCAATACGAGACTTTGATTTGATAGATAAAAGTCTAAAATATGATATAATGCCATACAATGAGGTATATCAATTCAATATAGTATTTGCTTATTAAATCCAATTAGCAATAAATGAAACCATGCAATAAATGTAATACTAAATTTTAAGATAATAGATGAAAATTTATTAATATAAATTAATAATAAAATAAAATATATTTTAAAGATCCTATATTTAATTGAATGTTTATAGTTGGAATTGCATCCAAAGCATAAAATAAAAAAACTATAAATCATAATTTCTTTTAAAAAAAAATATAATTTGGCATATTTAATGATAAAATTAAATATTCTTTTGATATTTTCAATAATTACTTCAATATAGAATATAATAATAAATAAATCAACAAATTTGATTCAATGAAAGGCCTTCATGTATTAAAATACTCAATAGTTGTCAAAAATATGAATCATAACAAAACATTAAAGAAATAATATTTTCTTATTGTAGAATGGGTAGGATTCTTTTATTTTATAATATATAGTATGTAGAATTAAGAGAAGCTAGTAAACTAATGAATGGATAGTTTAGAAGGCAAGATGGATGATTTAGTCAAAAAAAGTAATTATCATCGTACTATATAATGGTTGGCATTTCGAGGTAAGCATAAGTAGGTTGAGGAAGAAGTAGGAAGGATCAAACTGTGATAGTTATGAGTCGGGGTAAGTTTGGTGTTACCTCTTTGTTTTTTTGTAGTTGAAAAATAATGGATAGTTTTTGAATAATGTGAAGTGAAATTCTGAAATGAAAAAGAGATTTAATGTTGTATATGAAGTATAGAACTTATTGTGGATGAATATAGTAGAGAATTGTAAGTGGACAATTAGAAGTATTCATGAAAAATAGATATGAATGAAAGAATTATAATACTGAGGTTTGACAAGGAGTCTTTGGAGTCTCGATTATGTGAAGAAGTGTAGAAAGAATGACAATTAAATATAGAGGATCTCAGTGTTTGGATTATGGAATGATTGTATGCTATCTTTTAAGATAGTATAGTATTACATATCATTGTCATAAATTAAGAGAAGAGAAGAGATAATGAATGTGAAGATGGAATTATTGATTGTAATATTTGATAGAATATGGAGGACAATGTAGCATTCTTGGGTGTTCTTAGTTAATCAAGAGATAGTTAATTGTGTAACCCTAATGTTGTTGTGATGTAACATGACTAATAGGTGAAAGACTGTGGAAATTATTATAATGTAGGAGATCTCAGTTCAAATTATTAGAACAAATTATCTTAGAAATATAGTTAATAGTCAAAAGGGTAGTAAAACTAAAGTTATTAATGCTGCCTTTTTAGAAAGGTGACTTCTATTTACTTTGTAGGACCATAAATAAGACAAAAAAAAGTAGATTAGAAAAATAAATAATATAGGCATCTTTAGAAAGAAGTTAAGAAAAAATTCTAGTAAAATTTATTTAGAAAAACTAGATATTGATACTCAGAGAGGACCGGTTATGAACCAGGGTCAAAATCAGACCTTGAGGTACAAAACCAAGTCTCGACGACGACTTCGGAGTTCTTTTGCAAATCGGAGAATAGGATTTGATAACAGATTGGATAAGGTTTTTATAAATATTAGTTTTGGGCAATTTGGATTTGTATTGACTTTGTAAGAGCTTTGTAAAGTCAAGGTTTGTTTTGGATGACTTAGATTTTGTGAAATAAAGTAGGATTTACATTTTGGGTGATTTCAAGAGTTTTGTAATAGATCTACAAGTGAAATTTTGTGGATTTTTGGTCATAGTTGTGTTTTATATGTGTTGCAAATCTTAACTTAATCTAGTAGTTGAATTAAGGGTTATTGAGGTTTAAATGAGTGAAGGTCTTAGAAAGTAGAATTTTATGTCTAATGAGGATTTTTTAAGATTTCATACAATCTACTAATTGGATTGAAGTGAAATTTATGTGAGAGGATATTAGACTTATTTTTATATGTGTGTAAGAATTGTGAAATCAATCGAATGATGAAAAGAAGAGATATTGGCTCTAGAAGATTGGCATCAAGATAGGAAAAGAAGGCCAGACAATATCCAATCACGTTTTTGAGGTTATTGTCTATTTGGTAATTTCGATCATTTTCAAAATTTTTGTACTTGTTTTAAACTTAGTTTTTAAGAAGTATGCAAAATTTGAATTAAGATCAATGGTTCATTCATTAGTTATTGAGGTTTAAATCTATTGTAGAAATTACTAGGATTTGGTTAGGATTTGATTTAGGGTTAGAATTTGGTTAGGGTTTGATTTAGGATTAGGGTTTGGTTAGGGTTTGATTTAGGATTTAGGATTTGGTTTAGGATTTAAGATTTGGTTAGGATTTGATGAGGATTTGATTTAGGATTTAGGATTTTATTTGAGTTTGTTTAGGATTTAAGATTTAATTAATTTTTGGCCTAAAGTTTGAATGAAATTCAATAAGATTTCAACTAGGATTAAATTAAGATTGAATTGAGATGTATTTGAGATATGTTTGTAATCATTCTAATATTTCTTTAAGATTTCTTATTGTTTCTTTGGAATTCCTTTGAGGTTTCTCTGAATTTGATTAAAGCTTATTTAGCATTATTAGTATTCTATTAGAATTAGGATTTTTTTGTTGCAATTTCCATTCTACCTTCCACAGTTAGGTGCTTGGAGCATTCTCAAGCAAGACTTCATGTATTATGACAACATGTAAACTGATACAGATAGTCTTTCCTTGTGTTTGAATTTCCCTATATAGGTTTATTTCGATTAGATTAGTGTAGAGTAAGTAAAATGACAATTACACTTATTATATTTCAAAAATAAAATCAAAAATAGATATAAATCAAAAACTAAAATGGCTATTATAAAATATAAAGAAATTAGAGATTCTTAAGTAAAGACAAGAATACAATAAAGATATAAAAAAGAGTAAGGAAGACCTCACTTTTGCCTCTATATATATTATTTAACTAAGGAATTATGTATCAAAGACATGAATTTTAAAGAATTAAAAGATTAATATATTCTTGTGTCACTCAAAAAAGCTAGAAAATCATTCAAAGATGATATGATATTAAAATAGAATTATTATTATAAAAAAAAAATGAAAAAATCTTGAAATAAGACTATTCAAAGAAGAATATGTCATTCTTGAAAGTCTTCATCTTAATTAAGTCATCTTGAAGGCTATGACATATATTATATCCACCTTCAAAATACATGTTTTTGTGATTTTTTCTATATTTTTTCTATGTTTTTGTTATAGGTGCCAAGTTTCAAGGCATGAGATTTTTGATGTGTGATAGCTTTACTTGCAATTGTATGCGAGGCAGTGATCTATCCATTCCAATGTATTCTTCTTTATTTGAAACTTCGACAGTATCAGAGGACAACAGCCTGGTCCAACTGCCCCTACAGTTGGTTGGTCCCATCAAGTCTGACACCCTGGCTTCCATTATCCTCGTCGAAACCCGGCAGCATCAGCAGTGGAAGCTTTAGTTTGGACTGCTTGAGTGTCGGAACTTACACCTCCAGCCAGTTTCACATGAAGAAGAATAAGAAGCAGAAGTAGATGAAGAATTCTTCGTCGCTTCGTCACTCTCGGAGTAATTCTCTTGATACCCATCTGCTCTCTTCCTCCCACCCTACTATAAGTATTTGAGCTTTCCAATCCTGTCTCGCAACAAACTCTCCCAGGCCACCTCGCATCTGCGCCAGGCTCATCGTCACTTGGCAAGGCTACCATCTTTTTCTGTGCAGCTGTGGGGCTGAAGCTGGAGGTCGGAGCTAGCTCCTGATTCGTAAGATAAGCTTTGAACGGTTCTTGTCATGCTTGTGTCTGTGTCGACGGAAGAGAAGAGCGATCTTGGATAGAGTGTGAGGTACTGCTCTGGCTTCATGGATTTGATAAAGGAGGAAATAACGCGATCCTTGAGATGGTGTTGTTTCGTGATTCGGACTCGCCTGCATTGACGATATAAAAATACTCGCGGCCCTGTTTAAAAGGAGTATTTGCATTAGAGTTCCGATTCTCTCAACCCCGTTGTGCGATCCGTAATGGGTGGCGGTGGCTCTTTGAACTGATTACAGCACCAATAATCCTGAATTAGGAGTACCTTCTTTGTTTTCTTGCACAGGCTTGTGTCCCATTGACGCGCTTAGTTCATCCTGTTCTTGAAAAGCTTTGGTAGTTGACCTGGACAGGGAAGATCGTTCCCTTCATTCGCGCAATGTATTTCGTCATTTGTGATTTTAGGTGGCGATGTAGTACAGATGTCATGAATCGAAAGCAATCAGGTCAGTGATCAATTCAATGAATCCCAGTTCGCGACGAGGGGATGGTGTAGACAAGTTACTCGTGGTTTTTGCACCATGCACGTGCAGGATTCACCTCCTTTAGGTTTCGTCATCCGCGCTAATGCTCTGGCTATGAACAGTAGAATGAGGACGGTGTCCAAGAGGCAATCAAGTCAATACCTCGTCAAACAGGAACATGATGCTTGGATGGATGTCTGCGCACTTTTTTTTTTTTTTTTTTGTACTCAATTGTTAGAAAGATCGGCAAAACTTTTCCTGATAATCTTTCCATTCCTTTTGATATTCAGAGCTTGTTCGGCGGATCTATCCACGATGGGTGTCTCAGGACCAGCTCACTTTGTGTTCATCCACGGTGGTGGATTTGGTGCGTGGACCTGGTACCGAGTAGTCGACCAACTACGGAAGAAGGGCCAGAAGGCCACAGCCATCGATCTCACAAGCTGCGGCCGAGACTCCGTTGACCCCAACACTGTAACCTCGTTTATGGATTACAACCAGCCTTTGGTCGAATTCATGCAGACCCTCGCTCCCAACGAGAGGGTTAGTACAACGAATTTGTTTTATTTTGTTTTATTTATTTTTAATTGGACGTTCATTGTTGTAAGGATCGACTTCCTTTGATGAATTTGCCGTAGCATCTCTATGCGCCATGTCAAATGTATTCAACGTTTTATATGAATGTGGCGCATGTAGTGTCTGTGTTTCGTGCGTCTCTTAAGTCGACAACATTGCGCTCTCTGATCTTTACGCTAAACTCGTATTGTTGAGCGTATATTCGGCACTTTGAAGCCGTTTTACTCAGCATATTGTCTGGGTTTTAGCTCCAATTCACCCAATTAAGGTCATAAAGTTCGTCAAAATTTCTAGTCTTCATTATCCCTGCTGCTGTGTTGCTGCAGATTGTCCTAGTTGGGCACGATCTGGGAGGCCTGAGCGTGACATATGCAATGGAACACTTTCACAAGAATATTTCGGTGGCTGTCTTCATTGCCGCCATGATGCTACCCAGCGGATTCCCTCTCACGTTGGAGGTGCTTATTTCTTCTTCTCCTTCTGCCTTCAAGTTCACGGTAGATGAAGCATGTGTCTTGCTGTTGTTGTTGTCTGGCTACGCTAAATTGTTTGATTCCCCCTCTGATCATACACACTTCAACATTGCAGCTATTCGAGTTGGACCCAAAGGTGGGCAGCCACATAGAGTACACATTCGGCGATGGAACTCATGCCATGCCCACGTCGTTGTATGTCATGGAGAAGATGCAACCCCAGGTGTTCTACCACATGTGCCCATCTGAGGTTAGAGACCCCTCTCTCTTTTCTCATAAAACTCTGTAGTAATGTCATGGTATCTGCATTAGTAAATACCCATGTGAATAACTCGGAGGCCTATAAACCCTAAAACTCTCTCTGCTCTCACTGCCAGGATGTTGTGTTGGCATCACTCCTTTCGAAGCCTGTGCCGTTGAAAATGCTGGACGGCTCCTATACCCAGTACACAGACGAGAAGTATGGCTCCATTCCTAAAGTTTACATCAAGACAATGAGGGACCGCGTCTTGCCTCCGGACGTCCAGGACGAGGCTTTCTTGTCTGATCCCAACTGCTTGCCTAACGAGATTCGAGAAATTGAGTCCGACCACAGCCCCTTCTTCTCGAAACCTGCCGAACTGGTGCAACAACTGGAGGAAATCTCGGCCACCTACTCCTAAACCATCGAACATACTCTTCCCCTGGCAGTTGTTCTTCGGCTGTTCCAGGGCTGTTTTGATCCTTCGGTCTCTACCATGTCAAGGTTTGATGGCATTATTGGATGAGTGAAGTAGCAAGAGTGCCACTTCGTAGTGCCCCGATCCAAGGATGGAAAAACCGTAAAACATGTACAACTTTATTGGCAAGTATTGAGGTTAGATTAGTACTCGTTATCTGTAGCGTAGTGAATAAGGTGGTAGGCTTCCGAACGGCAGGGGCTCTTTTTATACAGCTCGCTGCTTATCTCTCTGTGTATCTCTTCATCTCTCTCCAGTTGCGTGCTCCAGGAGGTCATGCCGGTGTAAGTTCCAGCATTTGCAACTGGGTTGCAAATGTGAAGTTCAAAGTTCGATGTTGGGTAGGGTGGTTGGTGTGCAATCCAGCACCTTCATGGACTCGGCAGTTGAATGATTCAACGAAATGAGCTTGTGACTGTCTCTCTCTGTAGACTCTTTTGGAAGTGAAATCAGGGCAAGTGAGCACATATCAAGGACTTTATGCGCCGAGTCTGGCTCTGTCTGCACATTAAGATCAGAATGCTGGAGCTGTTATGTAAAGAACACCGGTGCTCTAAGGTCTGCTTTGAAACAATACTTCTCTCGTTCATACCTTGTCACAATCAGCATCGATATAGGTGTGTGTGGGTGTGTTTTTTTTATTGTTTTGTGTTTTTCTTTTCTTCCTTCTCTAGTATGAGAATGAGCATCATGTTTTCTCTTCGTCCACCGTCCATCTTCTGAGACTTCTCGCACAACTCGTCACAAAACAATTGAGTCTTCTGGATTGGAAACTGCAGAAGCTGTAATTTTTCTACTCCAACAAAACTCTTCAATGTGACACATATTCTTGATATAAACCAAAAAAATTGAAAAAGATATAAACCCAAAATTTTCATTAAAAGGTAATTAGGCAACTAGTTTAAGATGGAAAATCAATAGATCATAAGAATTTATGGAATGCAAAGACCAATTATGATAAATATATATATATATATATATATATATATTTGTGAATTTTGAATTTCCACAATTGTATCAAAAGATGATGATGATGATAAAAAATTTAAGTATAGTTAATATTAATATTATTATTATTCTTTATTTTTTGATTTTTTTACATGTCATTAATATTATATAATTTAATAAATACATTAAGTTCTATAAAATTCATAATTATAAGTTTAAATTAGATAAAATATATTTCTTTTCTTTGGATTTTTTTTTTAAAATTATATAGACACACACATATATATATATATATATATATATATATATAATAAAATGTTAAAATGATTTGAGTTATTATTAAATTGATCTACCCAACCTAACCATCATGAAAAAAAATTGACATCTAGATTTTAATTTCTACTATTGGATTAGTAATTAATGAAAATCATTTGCATTCATTATTATTATAATCTTAATGCAAAGATCAATCATGGTGGTTGTCAAAGCTCTTGCTTCCCATAAAAAAAATTTACATTTATATTTAAAAGAGAACTGAAAAAAAGTCTTAATTTGATTTTCTTCCTATGCCTCTTATTTCCTATTAGAGACATATATTTATTATAATTATTACGTAGATAATATGAATAGATAGAAGTATATAAAAGTAGATTAATTTCATAATAGCTTTTAGGAAAGCTTTCTTTGCTTAAAACCAAAAATTTCTTGTCATTGACCTTACGGACTTCTTCAGCCATTATCCATCTTAGAACAATCATAGTCTTTTATTTCTATGGATTTTATCACAAATCTTTTAGTCTTAATTTTTTATGACTCTATATTTGTGATAATAGATTATTTTACCAAGATGGCATATTTTATACCATGTATAAAATCTATCACAACTAAAAAAACAACCAAACTTTTCTTTGACAACATCTATTACTATCATGGATTGCCTAAAGAATTCATATGAGATAAGAAAACTTAATTTGTATCAAGATTTTAAAAAATAATTATGAAAACATAAGATTTTAAAAATTAATTATTATCCATGATTTGATGTTTTTAACTTTTCAAAAGTTGATAATCTTGCGACAAAAGCTTTAACAAATCATTTATCTAAGCTACATACAACAATGAAGGCACAACTAAAAGAGGCTCAAGAACAACAAAAAAGCAACCCAGATGTCTATCTCAAGAAATAACCTCATTTTCATGTTATTGATAAGGTATGATTACTTTGTCATAATATTAAAACTATTTGCTCTTGTAACAAGTTGGATTACCATAGATTTAGACAATTTCTTATTTGTAAACAAGTCGATTTAGTCACTCATTGATTACATCTACCAGAGTTTGTAAAAATCCATAGGTAGCTCCTAGATAGATATTATATACAAAGACAAGACTAAAGCCTTCTTCACTCTTATCAATTCTTTTCTTGTTAATAGTATTATTTCAAGAGTCTGTAGTTTTTTTATCTTTTAGTAATAGCTATTCTAATTTTTTTTAATATACATACTTTCTTATTTTTATTTTATCATACTTCTTTGAAAAAGTCTTACTTATTTATTTACTTTCATCTATTTCTTGTCCTTAAAATCTTCCTAATGCATTGCACTTTACTTTCAGTAAAGTGTTCTTGTTCTGTAGTTGATATAATGATGCATAAGGAGGACATGGTCGAGGATGATATATTATTTTTTATATGATTTTTAAGATTTTATAAGTATATCTAAATTCACTTCAAATAATTATTTCATTTCAAGTTTTATTTTAAAACATATTAAAAGTAATATCTCATAAAAACTTTATGTATTTAAAAAAATAATAAATTAAAATAATAAAATTTTAAAACAAAATATAATCTAGTATGTAATATTTTTATTAAATATTCTATGAACATCCTTTTAAAATATAAATATGATTGATTTAAATAAATTATTGACTAATTTTATTAATATAACTATATAATTTTGATAAAAAATCTAATTATATAGATATTTTATTCATGATTTATTGCTTGATATATATATATATATATATATATATATATATATATATAATATAGAATTTTAAATGGTATTGATATAAAATTATATTTATAATATTTTTGATACAAAATAATAATAATAATAATAATAATAAATAAGTTAAATTATCATCAATTAGATTTATAATAAATATTAGATTATGAAATTTAATTCAAAATATTTCAAAACTTTATCAATCTAAATAATAAGATTCAAAATGAGATATTTGTTGATATGTATCTTGTATTATGTTACTATAAGTTTCTTTAGCAAGATATGCTCATTTGATTTCTAACAACTCTAATAAAGGGTTTTAAGAAAGAAAGTAAGGAGAAAAAAGTAGAACCCATGTGAATTAATTGATGTTTGATTTAGAGCTAGTATAATAAAGATGTTCAAATTAATAAAAGAGTTTTTTAGAATTTTTTCCAAATTTCATATAGACATCATTGTGCTGCACAATGTATGTATTCTCTAATAAAATTGAATTCCAATGTAGATTTTCTAATAGATTTAAGTTCAACTCTAAAATAAACCAATAATATTATATGTCTTCTCTGTTGAAGATCAGCAAGATCTTACATAGTTGCCACCATATAGAATTAAACCATGGTTAGTTGCTAGTAGTCAAAAGATAACAAAAGATTAAAAGATATTATTATAGTAGTGACTAGGGTTTCAGGTAGTGACTAGATTAAGAAGAATCTAGGATTTAGTTGGATGTAGGAAAGAAAGATAAAAGCGATTGTAAATAAACTTCATCTACAATCAATATAAACTCTAGCTATAAATAAAGAGTGTTAGAAGTGAAAGTTATCTTACTCCATACTTCACTTTATATACAACCTTGTTGATGCTAAATATTATGGCTTTTAACTTCTCTCTCTATAATAGATTATGAATCCACTCACATTTCCTTGTGAGTTTCTTTGAAGTTATATGAAGACTTTGTTCTTATATGGAGTAGATCATATTGTTGCTAATTTTAGAGTTTTGAAACTCCTAACTTTTAGATTTGATCTAGATGTAGATCTTTGTTTACTCTTACTTGTTGTTAAATGCATGTTAGATTCAAGATTTGATTTGCATCTTATAGTGATATTATAAAACATTAGTGTTGTGTTCTCTTATTGATTAAGATCTTTGGTAGACTAACTTTGTAGTTTCATATGTTAAAAGAGTTTAAAATACTTAAAAGACCTCTTATGGTACCTAGAGGTGATTTATGAGCATAAAAGTGATAAAAGAGTGATAAATCTAATTTGAGACATTTATATTGATCATTGAACTTGTAAGAGGTCCGAAAAGTAAATTTGAGAGTGTTTTGAGAGTAAAAACACTAGTTTATTCACAAAAAAGGCATTCTAAGATCTTAAAGTAGTAACACCTTCTTGCTGATTTTAAGAGCTTTAGGACTATTTCTCTTGATCTTTTTTTATACATCTCTTCATTAAACATGGCTTCAAGTGAGAGTGAAGGCTTGAGAGTAATTGAAAAATTTAGAGGTGAGAATTTTGACTATTGGAAGATCAAAATTGAGCTTTTGTTAGCTTCTTTGGACCTATGGAATATTGTAGATGAAAGTGAAGAGCCTCTAAGCATACATGCTGATACAAAAGAAAAGAAGGACTATAAACATTGTGAAAATGAGGCCTTTGGATTGATTGCATGTAATATTGATGAAGCCAATTTTTTCTACATTATTTCATGTAAAGGACCAACAGAAGCATGGAAGTCTCTTTGCAACATCTATGAGGGCAAGAACCTTATCCAACATCATCTACATAACAAAGAAGTTCTTCACATGTAAGATGGAAGAAGATGAAGACGTCATGGCATATGGCAATAAAGTAAAGACACTTGCAAATCAACTCATAATTGTTGACAAGCTCTTAGAGGAGGCAGATGTTCTCATGACTCTACTCATAAGCTTGCCAAAATCCTACAACTACGTCATTATAGCTTTGAATCCATCAAGATGAAAGAACTCACAATGGACTATGTAACAATAAGACTTAGCCATGAAGTAAACAAGAAGAAAGAAAAAAAATTTCAAAGTGAAGATTCAGCATTCTACTCACAATAAGGCAAAGACAACTATTCAAATCAATGAGATAATTTTAAAACTTGCTTTATTTGTAGTAAAGTAAGATATTTTGCTCAAAATTGCTATAAAAGTAAAAAGATAGAAAATGAGAATGTAAATAATATATAAGATGAATTTGGAGGATAAAATTATACATTCATAGCAACAAATGGCACTTCTATGGCTACGATATTAAGATGGATTGTAGACTCAGGTTGTTCCAAGCATATGATACTTTATAAATATTCATTTGATACTTATGAGGCTATTTCAGTATTAAATGTGATTTTGGTACATAGTAACATGTGTGAAGCCATTGGAATTGATTCTATTATGGTGGAGGTGGTTGTAAATGGACAAACCAATAGGATCATATTTAAAAATATCTTCCATGTACCTAAGATAAAATAAAACCTACTTTTGATGAATAAACTTATAATAAAAGGTTTTATAATTCAATTCAATAAAAATGGATATTTTATAAAAACTTTGAGTGAAAATATAGTTGTCGAAGGCTTTAGAGAGGATAATTTGTACTAC